CGACCCCTGCCTGACTGTGCACATGCCTTGTGAATGAGAAGTAAACATTTGTTTGGCTGGCCAACTAAGATTATTGTAAAATAGTCTCAAAGTCACAGGTGTAACGGCTCTCTAGGGGACAGACCTAGAACTGGAACTGCTGGGAATGAGAGGATGAATGCGAAATTGGCATTCCCTAAACAAGAGTTAGCAAAACCCAGTCTGCCCCAGTTTTAGAGACACAGACATAAATGACACCATTTCACCCACAAAACGTGTCAATAATACTGTAGATGTATTTTTGGGTCACATACGACATTCCAAAGCATAGAAAGAGCTGAAATTAAATATATGTGACCCAAAAATATATATATATATATATTAAATATAAATATATATCAGTAACGACATTCCAAAGCATAGAAAGAGCTGAAATTAAATATTACTGAAAAAGTGAAGATGACAGACACAGCTCACATCCTCTCTATTGGGCTGCACTGCGCCAGACCGAGTCCAAAATCCTCACCAAGGCCTCTGGGCCCACCCAGCGTGCCTGATACCAGCTGCAACCTTAAGGCAAGTCACTCTGAGAGCCTGAGGCCGTAGAAGGCTCTGTCTGTTGCAAAACAGCGTTACAGACCGAGGGGTTCCCGGTGCTTCCAGCTCCTTTGCCCCCCAGCCTGTGAATGGGCAGTCATAACCTTTCTGAGTAGTTCTCTCACCGATGAAATGTGGATGAATGACTGCCCCTTCCTAACTCTATGGCCTTGAAGTCAGTTTTTGCTCAAGTCCCGGCTTCTGTTCCCTGGTAGCAGTCCTGGTGGCCCAGGCTTACACACCCACTTCAGACCTTCACGGCCTGTTGATCTCCTCCCCCCCTCCCCCCTAAATAACCAGGGGCAACTTAGGAGCCTCCTCCTGGAGGGTTAGAGGACAAGTTCTGCAATTGGGGTAACGATCAGCCAAACTGCTGCCCTGAAGCAACTGCCATCTCCTCTTTGTTCTCCTCAGGGTCAAATCAAGTTCAAGTCTCTCTTCCCTTTTGACCTGCTTGGGTGCTGGGAGAGGGAATGAAGCCCTCCCCAGACATCCTCACACCCCTTCTCCCCTCCCCATGGAAGAGGCTCTTCAGTGGCTTGAGCATTCTCACCCAGGACCCCTCCCCGCGGAGAGCTGTGCAGGTTAAGTGGCTGTACATTCTCCCAGGAGGCCACTGACCATGGTGTGAAGATTAACACTGCTGCCCACATCAGCACCTTGCCGATTTCAGCCAGAGCAAAACAAAAACGTACCCGGGCTCCCAGCTGGTGTGGCTCAGTGGATAGAGCATCGGCCTGCCGACTGAAGGGTCCCGGGATTGATTCCGGTCAAGGACACATGCCTGGGTTGCAGGCTCAGTCCCCAGTAGGGGGTGTGCAGGAGGCAACCAATCAATGATTCTCTCATTGATGTTTCCCTCTCTCTCTCTCTCTCTCTCTTCTCTGAAATCAATAAAAATATATTTAAAAACAAGTCACTTGGCCTCCTCTCAGGGTGCATAGCTAACCAGCAGGACATGGAATTCAGAACAGACCCCGGGGGAAGCACGGCCCCTGCGCTGTGTACGGTGACGCTGCCTGGACGGTACGTGGGTCAGAAATGTACTGCGCGGCGGCAGGCTGTGCAAGGAAGAAACATTTGAAATGAAAGGGCAGAGAAATGTTGACAATTGCTTTATTTAACAAAATTTACTCCAACTTCTAAATCTCTATATAAATGTTTCCGAAGCGCAGCAGCACACACTGTGAACACAGAACCTCCAGGGGTGCTCGGAACGGGCTAGGCAAGGTTTTCTTTTTTCTCACGTCGATGCTCACAGGTTCATGCCGTCTTCGACAGGCGGGGCAGCGTCACCCCTTCACCTCCGGGGACGGCTTCTCCAGGGGGTCCCCGAGCAGGAGGCAGGGGCTTTCGAGGGTTAATACATTGCGTTCCATTTAGTTCAACAGCACCTGGCCCAGAACAGGGGCTCACAACATTGTTTGGGACTGGGGGAGGGGAGGGTAGGATGTGAGTAAAATAGAATCTATGAAGTCATTAGAAAAAACAAACAACTTTCTCTCTCTGTCATATCATAAATATAAGATCATCTCATTTCTGCTCCCCAAAAGAAAATGGGTTCAAAAGAAGCGTAAAATGATGTCCTTGGTAAGTACTATGAGTCAAGTTTCGTGAAAGGAGGTCCTTCAAAATCATGGCAAGAAAGAGCACACAAATCCTCAACCCAGTTCTGCTCCCTGCTCCAATCTCGTTAGAAATGACAGGACAGTGCGTTTCACGACACTTACCTACATGCTAACGGGCTACTTCCTAAGGCTCTTCACACGGGGAGGACAGCCAGCCTTTCGGCCTCACTTTTTACGACTCCCAGGAGCCTTCCTAATTCCTGGACAAGCACTGTCATTCTGAACCCCCTCATGGAAGTGAGCTCTGTACAGGGGTGTAAGCTGCTTTAGGTAATACTTGCCAAAGGGCTGATGCTGCAAAGTGTGAATACTTCATGTTGACACTTAACACTGACCCAATTCATGGCTCTCCCCCCCGAAGGCCAGTCTGCGCTTCCAGAAAGACGCGACTGTGTAGTGAGGTATAGGAGGAGAAAGAATCGCAGCCTTCTCTTCTCCGAGTGCCTCGGGATGCTCCTTTCACATCGGAGGGGCTCGGACCCATGCACGGGCAAACCTGCGCCTGGTCTCTGCACTCAACGAGGCAGGTGGCTCCGCTGCTCACAACGCCCCGACCGGAAATGCGCCCCCGACCGGAAATGCGCCGACTGAGGCCTGTGATGGAATGGTCGCCGGGTGGCCGCTCCGTTTGTTCCCGCGAATCCGACCCACTCTCCACTGTGCTTCCATCGCTCCGAGTGAGATCAGACCATTATAAAAAGGTACTTCCAAAATAAGTTATTTCTAGAATATAAAACATTTTATAGTTTCCAAACCACCTAATTTCATTATAAAATAGGAAATCAGAAAATTAGGCATTAGTTTTCATATGGTAAAAAATACTGATCTGTGTACATACACATATATACACATAATCCAAATTTCAACAAAAATTAATGAACCAACTCGGGGATCATGTCCCAAATTACATAGAAGACATGTTAACTACTGTCATGAGAAACAATGACACAGAAGTACTGCAATACCCCCTCTCCCCCATCAGAGGTAATCTAAGACTTTCCCTGTGGGGAAAAGAAATATTCATCTGACTACCCAATCATCAGGAATCTCTCTCGCATCTTCCTCACCTGTGACAGCCCCAGTGGCATTTCCTGCCCCAGCACCGGCCTGTATGGCTACAGCACCGGCCCGAATGCCTACAGCACTGGCCCGAATGCCTACAGCACCAGCCTGAATGCCTACAGCACCAGCCTGAATGCCTACAGCACCAGCCTGAATGCCTACAGCACCAGCCTGAATGCCTACCACGAAGAGCACTGAAGGGCCGGGCTGCGGTGTGCCTGAGCCATTTGCCGTCTGCAGGACGGTTGGGGCCCAGCGGAGTGGGCAAGGAAGGACTAAGATGCAGTCCAAGCTCCATCTGCCAACTGAGTATTGCCCAAGAAGCCCCAGGGGCAGAGGGCGGGCTGTTTCTGATGCCCACGAAGGTGCTGTCAGCTCAGCACCGGTCTCGACACCTGGCGATGGAGAGGGGAGCAGGAATGTTCCGAGTTGCTTCCCAGCAAAGCGAGCAATGGGGAAAAGCATGACCGTGGCAGCTGTCAGTTAGAAGCACACTGTCCCTTTCAATGAAGACCCGGGATAGCGTTCCTATAATCTTAACAAAGATGGTGGGACGTTTGCATTTTGTTGATTCATGCCCATTTTTAGTATTTTCACAAGGGTCAACTTGTAAGGGGCCTCAAAGGCACAAAAGCAAAGGGATGGGCGATGAATGGGGAGTTGTCCGAACAGGACCCTGTGGAGTAAGAGAAATGGCAAAGGAGAGAAGGCTGCAGCCTGGGGTGGAGGGCAGTGTCTGTGAGCCCTGCGCGATGGATGGAGAGTTAGTTCCCAAGTGAAAGAGTTAGTTCTCAGCCATCTTAAAGTCACAGCTGCCTCCACAATCTGACCTTGCATTATCTTCCCAGGTGTGATCTATGCTGTAAGAGGCCCGCCTAGCCACATTTTTAACTGGCTTATGAGAGGGGTAAGGACAAACGAAAGACTAAATTTGAGATATTTTCCCTTTGTGACCATTTCTATTTTATTTTGTAAAAAGGCACATTCCCTCTCTAATTGTCCTAAGTTGAGATGTTCAAGAAAGAATGCAAAAGCTTGAAAATGTTTCCTTTCTCCCCTAACACACGCTGTGGAAGGAGCAAATTCAGGCAAAACTTGACAATCATTCTTTCAAACAGTCCCAAAAAGCACAGTTCTGTGCTGTAAAGAACCCTTATGAGGATGATGGAGGGGATGAGGGATTTAAAAGAATGGCCACTTTTCTGTAACCAAATTTAAGATAACAGTAGAAAATATAATTTCCATTATGTACCAAATATTCAGGAGACAAGTTAATGCAAAGATAAAGTGGATGAGCACACCACCATGGGTTTAATTGATCAGTAGCATTCTGGGATATGAGCATGTGTAACAAACTCTAAACTCACCCTCTCACTGGATGACAAAAGGTTTGTATCCACTCAGAAACCGGGCTGCTAAACAGAAAGGTCTCAGATCCCACTGAAAATTTGGTGCAAGTTTCACTTCTCTCCAGAAAAAATGCATGTACATAAATTTGTGCGTACTCTTTCAGAAGCTTCAAATGCCTTCTGAGTTCCAGTCATACATCGGGAGAAACCAGTCACCTGGTTCTCAACATTCCTTCAAGGGATCTGAACAATGGACGGTCCTCCTGTTCCTATCATCTCTATTTCTCCTACTGAGTCAGGGATGGGAAAAGCAACAAATCCAACCCTAACCTGAATAAACTAAAAGTAAAAAAACCCCAATTTGCTTCAAACACCAATTTTTCACTTATTTGCCCTTGGAAGAAAGAACATCCCAATCCCTAGTTGCTTCTATCAAATGCCGTTGGCCGTGACTCATCCACTCTTCCTGGTCTTCGTACAGCCGTCCGCAAAACCAGCACTTAAATGTACACTGTGAGTCATCAGGCAAGGAATCCACCACCTGGTAGTTGTTTTTATGGACTTTTTTAAGTTTCATTTTCAACATCATTTGCCTTTTGATTTGATTGGCTTCCTCCACGTTCTGGTAGGTCAGCCGAACGTGATGCCGTCTGATGCCTAACTGACACCTGGTCCTCTCCGATAAGACGACCTTGAGGACGTTGCCTTTGTACTTGTTTATTACCTTCATCACATTGGTCACTTCCGGTGAGTCAACGTCAGGATGGTTCAGCACAATGACGGGCTGGTTCCGACGGGGGCATTTAATCAGCTGGTCCGGTTTCACGGCTATCAGTCGAAGCTGTCTTGCAACCTGGAAAATTGAAGGATCCTTGAGACTGAGGCCAGAGTCGGCCTGCATTTTGCTTTTCTTCTTGGATGAATGTACTTGCTTGGTTTTATTTTTGACAGGAAGACTTCTCGAGGGCACTTTTCCTTGCTTACTCAACTCACTGCTTCCGTGCGGACCATGCATGGGGCCAGCTTTTTTCAGGATGGTGCTCCCGGCAGCACTCTCTTTCCTTGGTTTAGGCCGGAGAGATGTGTCGAGGTTATGGGACATTTCTATTGGTCCACTTTCGCTTGTTGAAGGCTGTAAGTCTGAATCTGTCTGCTTCACGGGGCACAACGGAATGGGTTTTAACTGTGTCTCACTGTACGGGATGCTGACGGGGGCTTCACATGTCGCCGCTATAATGTGGGTGTCCTCAGAGGAATTAAGAACTCTCAACACGGCTCCTTTGGGGATCAACACTGGAGTCGCGACATGAGCCTTCCTAGCAACTTGGCTTTCGATTTTCCCATTGCTGCCTTCTACAAACTGTGGATATATGTGCTGACGGGTAAGCTGTCTGCTAACACCACTATGGTCCTGAGGTTTGGAGAGAGTGTGTGTGGCATAGCCAGGGCCAGCAAATGCCATGTTAATTTCTTGAATACCTTCAGGACTAGCTTTGGAAGTTCCCTTTGACGCTTGCCCTACAGAACGACGGTGTGCATTACTGGCAGCCAGAGAGGGAGGCCTGCCACAGGATTCAATTAACTGAGCGATCCTTCTGCGCAGAAGCTCCATTGACTTTATTTTGGATGTTGAGTGATTCCACTTAACGCCCTCAGGGACGTCTTCAGACCCGGAGCTCAGAGAAAATACTGATGAAATGACTGGGCCACTGAAAGAGTCATTAGTCCTTTCAGATTTCTTTATCTCCAAAAGCTTATCCCCAGGCTGCTGAGATCTGATCCTGTCTTCTCCTGTTATGTTTATGTGTAAATATTCACTTTTATGATGAGAGGAAATCTGGCCTGCATTTGAAACTGCCTTAGAGTCCTCTGTCTGGTTGTCTTTCAGCTTCCTAGAGGATGGAACCATTCTCACAGGAATACTGATCTCGCTTCTAGATTCCAAGTCATTTTTACTGACGGGCAAAAATCCCCTTTCTCCGGAGAAGGAAATGGCTGTGGGTGATGCAGCCAGAGGAAGGAACTTCTGGGGGTCCCTGTGCAAATGCCTCCCGTCTTCAGTAAAAGAAACAGCAGCTTTATATGGGAAAGGATTGGGGGCAGTGCCAAGGCCACACAGAACACTGTTTTTTGCTATAGAAGATGGAGAGTGACCTTTTAAGGCAACAGGAGGAAGAGCCGTTCTGTGTGGATACATATGACTCTTTCTCTGCAAATCCTCAGCTCTAACGGGCTTGAGAAGGGATTCTCCACAGGGGTACACACTAGGATCTGACATGAACACGTCATAAGACCATTTCACATTCTTAACTTGTTTCTGAGCTGACTGAAGGCTATCGAGGCCGCCCGGTTCTCCAACAGCCCCTTCCGTCGTCAGTGCATTGGTTGGTTCTGCAGGGAGCCTTTTCCCTCGTTCATCCGAACTTTTCTCTTTAGTCCTACATTCAGCATGACCTCCGTCACCCCCGCCAGCTTCTAGGCCATTATTTTCTTCCAAAGGGAACAGTTTCAGAACGAGCTGCTGTGTCCCGTTGACGACCTTCACGTCTATCAACTGGGCCAAACAGTTGGCGGGGACCACGAGCTCGGCGGGCGCCACCACGGTCAGCGGCATCCCGGGCTGCACGGGCTCTGTGGCTGGGGACAGCACCTCCACCTCCACGCTCTTGTTCTCCAGCACGCTGACCTCGCTCGGCTCCGACAGGGTCCCTCTGTTTGGAATGCACACCACGTCTTTCTGGTGGTCCTTCGGCTCGGGGACGAGCGTGATGCTGCGCACCCGGTCTTTGCTTGTCTGGAGGGAGAACCTGGAGAGCTGGTCGGACAGCCTGCTGGGCAGGGCGGTGCCCGGCTCGGAGGCTTTGGAGAGCTCCGCGCTTTGTCTGGACGCGCTGGTCCTTTTCGGCTCCAGCTTGGCTATGGCCTTGGGCTGCCGCTTCCCGCCGACTCTCTCGTGGACTCGCTTCCTGTGCTTGACGATGTAGTCGTTCCGGATAGCACCGTAGTCGCAGTACTCGCACCGGTAGGGGAAGATGCCCGTGTGCTTCACCAGGTGCCTCTGAAACTCCCCCTTCGTGTAGGAGATGTGGCTGCAGTGGGAACAGATGAACTTGATTTCTTCGTGCTGAAGCATGTGCTTCCTGTACTGCAGAGGGTCCTTCGTGGAGAAGCGACACTTGTCGCAATAGTACTTGCCTGGTTTAAAGTTCCTTACCTTGAATTTGTTATTGCCGGGACTGGCGACGGGGTCGGCTTGACTTCCTCCGTGGGTCGTGCTGGGATCGCTGCTCCCGAAGGGAAAGTGGGGAGAAGCCGCGCCAAAGCTGCACTGGAAGCACACGAAGCTGTCCTCCTGGAGGCTCTGCCCCGGCTCCTTTTTCAAATCCCGAAGAGGGACCTGATGAATGGTCTTGCACTTCACACACATGGCCGAGGTCATCAGGGCGGCCTCGGCCTCGGAGCCTTGGTACAAAGCCGCCTGAGCTTCTTGTCTGTCCGGCCGAGTGGCTCTGTTAGCATGAGGTTGTCGAGGCGACATGGTCAGAGAGTTATGTCCATCGAGTACCTGTGAACTGAATAACTGCTGTCCAATGTCCTTCATCTTCTCAGCTGCATTTCCAGGCACAGCCCACGGGGATCCAGGCGGACTTCATGTGACTGAATCCTTCCGGGGCAGCCTTCAACCAGCTCTGATGGGCAGACGCGTGGTTCCTTCCGGGGGGCATCCTGTGTTATCTCTTTAAAATGCCACAACATAGATGCCCGGTCCTCAGATATGACTGCTTCCAATTCTCTGCTATTCCAGGCAACACTAAAGGGGAAAAGAGAAACCACAGACCGTGATGAACACGTGAACTTAAAGAGTTAGCTGAGCTATTTCCAAACTTTCCCTACATCTCAATGACCTTGGGAATGCATGTTCAAGCTCAACATAGGATCTTAGACACATGGATGGTAACACATAATACAACCGAGCTGGCAAATTAAGGAATGTGAACTGCAAATATTTTCAAATTGGTCTCTAACGCTCATCACTTAGACCCGTGCTTGGCAGATTGTGGCTTGCGAGCCACATGTGGCTCTTTAGCCCTTTGAATGTGGCTCTTCCACAAAATACCAAGGGCGGGGCGAGTCTATTTTGAAGAAGTGGCGTTAGAAAAAGTTTAAGAAATGTGGCTCTCAAAAGAAATTTCAATCGTTGGACTGTTGCTATTTGGCTCTGTTGACTAATGAGTTTGCCGACCACTGACTTGGACCAACTGTGACCATAAACAAGGAGTAAGGAAAGCACGGAGGCCCCTCAGAGAACCTTTCCTCAGTGACAATCATTTCTCCGTGTCGTGGAGGGCATCCTGGCCATGTCCCAGGGACACTCTCACCGGCCTCACTGACAGCTGGGACAGTGCGCCGTCACTCAGCTCTTAGACATGCGAGTCTTCAAGTGGCGCCTCGGGGCTTTGGATCGGGTACCCGTTCGTTTCTGCATTACAGCTGAACGACCCGCGTGGACCCACGTCTCTCACACACCCCCCACTGGCTTTCACAAGTGCTAAGTCAATTCTGACAGTATTGGGCAGACAGATATTCGTTCTTCCCTGAGCCTCTACCGAGAACAGTGCCAGGCAGGGCAGTGAGCAAAAGCAAATGAGTCCCTGCCTCCTGAGGGCAGGGGTTGGGGAGGCAGGTTGTGTACCTGTCAGACAGTAATTGGGAACAAAATACCATAAAGGCGGGCAGAGGGAGAGGGAGTGACTCTGTGATGAAGTTCAGGGCTGGCGTGGAGGTAAAGAGAGTTGGCAAAGCCTGTCCCCAGCCCCAATAAGCTGACTTCTGAGCAGAGACCCCAGTGTAGCCAGGCAGTGAGCATGGGGCTGTTGGGGAGAAGGCATCTCAAGCAGAGAAGCAATGGTCTGTGGGAAGTGGGCCCGGAGCACGTGAGGGACAGGGAGGGAAGGAGCGGGAGGGGAAGCGAAGGGAAACTGGAGGCAAGCAGGGGAGTGGGAAACTAGCCAAGGCAGAGTCTACAGCAACCTCAGGATGTGGCCTCTCCCTCACGTGGGAAAGAGCCAGGGAGAGAGCAGAGTGGGGATGGGACGTGGTCTATATGGCAACTTCAGCACTGGCCTCCGGCTGCTGAGGGTGAAGAAATGGGGCAGAGGGCCCAGCTGGGACATGGAGGGGGACCAGGCTGCGGCCGTGCAGGCGGACATTTTCCACGGCAAGTGCTACAGTGCACATAACACAGTGGCCACTTTTATATAAAAAGTTGGTTATGTTTAAATATCATCCCCTTCCCCTGAATTCACAATTAGGAATAGGCAAAAACCAGTCTGTTTGGGGGTCTGTTAAAAGCCTTACTTTTATGACCTTAAAACAAACAAACAAACAAACAAACAAACAAACCACGCCACTTAAACCTTTGGGCTTCAATTTTTTCAGTGGCAACTGGAATTGAGGACAGGTCTCCGTGGGAGAACTGCTTTAGTCTGGCTCCTGTCTGTGTGGGACACCCCTCTGAATGGGTGGCATAGGGCACGCAGTGTCCACTCTGATTGGCCGCCTCCTTCCGGGGCACTGACAGGCCAGGAGCCATACAAGGTCTGAGAGGCTCTGCAGGGTCGAGAGAAAACAAGTCCAGCATGCTAGGATCTGGCCTAGCACCTGCCTACACAAGCAGCCTGGAAAAGCGTCATGAGGACATCAGCGCTGGATACCAGCTTCAAAACACCTTCACCAGCTGACCATGCACTTGATGCTCTGATGGTTGCCACGAAACTCCTTTCCTGTCCACGCGGCTAATTTTATCATCGCGTAGTTCTTGTTGTCAAGAACTGACCCTTAAACGAGACCGAATCCAGCCTCCTGGTAACTTTCCTCTATCCCGATGCTGGTGCTGCCAAAGACTTAGTTCCCTTCCTAGCCTGGCTGTGACCCCGCACACCTCCTCTCACCCAGCCCTTAAATATCACCCCCCTCCCCTGAATTCACAATTAGGACTAGGCAAAAACCAGTCTGTTTGGGGGTCTGTTCCCAGCCCTTAGTTCAAATATCTGCCCTTAGTTCCCAGCCCTTAGTTCAAATATCTGCCCTCCTCTCATCTGCCAGCCTCAGGACCCTGCTCTTTCCAGAGAAGGGACGGGGAGAGAGACAAACAGCAGAGAGCAGAGGAAACAAACAGGCCTGCCTGGCACAGCTGGCTCCCCAACTCTTCCAGCTGAACCCCTGGCACGCTGACCCTAAGAAGTTCCCAAAGAAATCGGGTAACGAGGTACCTGTTTGAAGCATCATCCAAACTGGGATTGTTGGCACCTTTTCTGTTTCTCAGCCGCCAAGGGGCTTCAAAAGCCACGAAAGACAGTTTTGCCCTTTTCTCTCAAGTCCTTTTAAAATGTGGGGGGTGTCATGCCTCCTAACGCTAAAGACAGACCAGCCCAAGACACTGGACGGTGAGAGCACGGACATTAGCGAGGAGTGAGCAGGTGCTGACAGAGGAAGGACCCAGAGAATGAGCAGATCCACCGCAGAACTGGGAGAACGCAGGGACCCTTTGGAGGTGATTCTGCAAAACCATCCCAGCAGTGACTTTAACTAAAAACCCCCAGGAGCAAGTGCGCATATGAAGCTCAGGCTGTGACTGGCAAGTCCAGTTTATGGGAGAAGCTGTAGGGCGTGGTGACGACAGCATTATCCAAGCAACGCCATGTTTCCCCTGGCATTTCCCTTAGGCCAGGGAGGAAGAGTCAGGCTTCCTGCCAGCAAGCAGACGTTCTTTGTGGCCTTCGCCACGTGTGTGGCTAGTCCAGGGGGGAGGCCTTGGCTGTAATACCCTGGTCAGAGATGAAGGGACCAAGTGGGAGAACAGGATGGCTTTGACCATGGTACTTCCTCGTGGACAGCAGCAGGCGCACCTGGGCAACGGGCTCCCCCCGCCCTCCCTCCGCCAACCTGCTCTATCCTGGGTTCCTGGGCAAGCACTCTAGGCTGGTCCTTCTGGCAACTCACTGCCCAGCCGGCCGAGGACTGCACTGAATCCGGCAGCTAAAGGGCCGTGTGCCTGATACTGAGAAGGCACCCAATAAATGACTGTCGCCCTCGCTGTCCGTGTCCGCCTGCCTTCCAGACTACCACAAACCTTCTTTTAGAGAATTTAGGGAGGCTCTCAAAACGTGGACACTACTTAGCATTGACTTCTTTTGTTATTAATCCTCACCCGAGGGTATTTTTCCATTGAATTTTAGAGAGTGCAAGGAAGAGACAGAGAGAAACATCGATGTGAGAGAGACAAATTGACTGGTTGCCTCCTGCACGCACCCCGGGCCAGGGAACCTGCAACCGAGGTGCATGTCCTTGACCGGAATAGAACCTGGGGCCCTTCAGTCCAAGGGGCCAATGCTCTAGCCACTGAGCCAAACCAGCTAGGCCAGTGTTAAATAGCTTTTGACACAGTAAGATGGTCTTTACATTACGAGTATGTTGCCTGTTTTTGAACAGCACAGAGCGAGCTTTTTAATGTAGCGCATGTGCGTTGGCCAGGCCCTGCCACGGTCCCGCCCTTCCTGAAGGCCCACGCTCAGCACCTGCTGCTGCTGGGTTTTCTTTTTGACCGTGAGCTCCCTTGTCCTGGTTTCTCAGAGGTTTATTGTGGGGACACGTGAAAAACCAATACTGACTGCAAGAACCGCTTCAGTGACACGGGGGGCTGTAAAAACCATACAGCACTGTACATAACATTCCTTATTGAGAAGGAAGCATTTGGCTTCTCAATACTGCAAACCTCAAATATTCAGATTTAGAGGAATACTAGCGAGACGGCTCTGGAAGCTACAGGTTCTGGAATGAGATTACAGGCTTCGATGCCCAGCCCGGCGGGTTCCTAGGTGGCCTGGGCGGACTGTCCATTCCCGGTCAGACAGTAATAGCACATCCACCGCAGGGCCGGTGAGAAGGAACTTTGCTCATGTGACTACAAGGGCTTAGATAAGTTCCTCACACATCGGACACTGTTTAAAATATTTTCCAGCCCTAGCCAGTTTGGCTCAGTGGGTAGAGCGTCGGCGTGCGAATTGAAGGGTCCCAACTTCGATTCCGGACAAGAGCACATGCCCAGGTTGCGGGCTCCGTCCCCAGTAGGGTGTGTGCAGGAGGCAGCCGATCAATGATTCTCTCATCCTTGATGTTTCTATCTCTCTCTCCCTCTCCCTTCCTCTCTGAAATCAATAAATAAATACATTTAAACATATTATTTTCCACTTTTTATGAAATTATGCCTATCACAAAACCTGTCAAGGGGGCCAACAGGCTTCTTAGCTGTCAGGCAATGGTTCTCTCCAGAATATACACTGAACCTCACTTTATAATGTTAATGACATTTGCTTGGTTGTACAGCCTAGGAGAGAATTTACCTCTGGGGCAAAACCACCCCTCCAGCCTGCCTAGCAGAGGTGGACAGGTGCTTAGATGCACTGCAGAGAAGACGCTCTAACCACAACTTGTACAGAAGTCAATTCCTAAACTGCCTTGTCTTCTCCAAGCCCGGTGAGCTGTGCCATGTCGCTGGAGCAACGACTGGGTTTCCATGCGGGATGGTCACGTGAACAGTAA